AAACATGACTACTTTATTTTTGCATAAAAAATCGCCCGTTTTGAGAAAGTTAGAGCAGATTTTCTCTAAACTTCGAGTTTTTCGGGTTTTCGACTCGACCTTAGTATTTTGACCTCGTAATCACCGTGAAATTTTGCATCGAATGATATAGTTTTAAGTGAAAAATAAGAACTTGCAATTCTTTTGAATTAGCGGCGCCTTACCAAGCTACCAAACCACCATATCAACCTACCAAGCTACCAAGCTACCAAACTACCAAACGACCATATCAGCTTGGTAGGCGTTTGGTAGCTTGGTAGGCTGGTATGGTAGTATAGTCGTTTGGTAGCTTGGTGGCTTGGTATGGTAGTATGCTCGTTTGGTAGCTTGATAGCTTCGTAGCTTGGTGTGGTAGTATGGTCGTCTGGTAGCTTGGTAGGCTGATATGGTAGTATGGTCGTTTGGTAGCTTCGTAGGCTGATATGGTAGTGTGGTCGTGTGGTAGCTTGATAGCTTTGTTGGCTGATATGGTGGTATGATTGTTTGGTAGCTTGGTAGCTTGGTGGGCTGATGTGGTAGTACGGTCGTTTGGTAGCTTGGTAGGCTGATATGGTGGTATGATCGTTGGGTAGCTTGGTAGCTTGGTGGCCTGATATGGTAGTATGGTCGTTTGGTAGCTTGGTAGCTTCGTAGGCTGATATGGTAGTGTGGCACGAAGTGTCTGTGTACAAAGTATATAACGGACTGGAAGTGGTGCATTAAGCGCTTTTCATTTTCATGCTCACATTCATTCGTCATAGAGGTGCGCGTCTTTAATGGGCGACAGAAATTTCCATTATCACTGCTAGCTTATCTTAGCCGTCTTGGTCCTTAACGTCGACGTAGCTTACAATGCATAGAGGAAAACGGAGGGAGATACCCTTAACAGCAAACGAAATGCGGAAAATCAGACACTCAATTCTTTCTACCATACCTGCCTACCGGGCTACCAAACGACCATACTACCATACCAAGCTACCAAGCTATCAAACTGCCAAATTGCTATCTACAGTCGGATGAAAGTTGTACCTACCATATCTATGCTAAACAATTCAAGGTAGTATAGTATGTCACACCCATCCAGTGGCGGATATACTTTATGATGTCTCCTACCATTCCGCGGCGGATGGGAATAGTTCATCCTGTGTAAAGCAATATAAATAGAGAAGGGAACACATTTTATTGTTTTATCCAAAAAGACGATTTCCTTCACTATGAAATTAGTGTTTATGCCACTATCCGTTTCAAAATTCAACAAGGTCCGTTGTTTTTTGAATAACTTTTGATAGGAGTGTGACAGAGACGTGCGTTTCCAGCATTGAAAACCAGACACCTGACCACATATTTCTGTAACTAACAGCGGTTTATGCAGTGGATCTCTGGAAAGCCAGCTTGGGCTTTCCGCACATTCACATAGGCATGTACTGGTTTCTTTTCATGAGCTGATAGCCCGGAGTGTTCTGTTCATCATGGAAGTAACGTGAGACCTTGATTTTCTGTAGTTCGAGCGTTGTGTCGGATTCCGACGAGTCTCAGGGCTGGCGCTCGGTGACACTTGTTAGTTTTAAAGACGGATGGAGTATGGATAATCTACCATACTGAGTCTCGTGGCAATATTTGTTTTTAGAGAAAGTTTTCAAAATCTATCCAAAAGGCGGTTTTACGAGAATTAGGGTTTTCAAGCTGTTTCCATCTAACATTAAAAATTCACTATTCGCTCAAAAAACATCAGAACGCGTTCAAAACTTCAGAATGTAGAGTATTTAAGCTACTCTATATCCTATTTATAGAAGATCTCCAAATAAATTTTAAAAAACCCCAAGGTTTTCCAAAGGAGTTTCTTGAAAACTTATTAACAAAAAAGTGTTTTTCGATGTTTCGATGTGATATTCACGTTTAGTGCACACCACTAATCATATTCTGAAGTTTCGAGGTTGTTCTCATGTTTTTTGAGCGAAGAGCGAATTTTTTAATGTAAAAACAGGTTGAAACTCTAATTCTCGTACATACCAATGCCCTCTATCTCAGGCTATCATACCAAAGAAAAGAACTGTAACAGCTGAGGCTGACCTTTATTTTTCCTTTTTGCTTTTGTCCAACAAAATGGTTTCTTGAAATATCTAATGGACACCAAACAAAAATAAATCAAACCAAACCACCTAAAAGTACCGATATTTCATTTGATTCCAGTACAAGTCTTGAGAGCCTATTTTGCATGATTTGTCCATCAAGATAGACTTCAGGCATTTCGCACGCGAATCAAAGAGGTAAAACGTTTCTCTTGAAAATCACGCAAGAACGAGCCTGATTCGTTCATTTTTTGAGTGAGCACTGTTCATTATACAAACAGCTCCAAAATACAAATTGAAAAAGTTAAACAAACAGTCACAGGGCTTTTGCAAAAAGCATTATTGAAAATACGGCAATATCGACAGAAAATTCGCATTATAATCATTCGATAGGACGGATGTCCGAGTTCCGTCAATTCCGTAATTTACAAACTGCACGAGAATTCTACTTGTGTGAGCGAAATTGCGATGGTCCGATTGAGATGATAATGCGGTTAGAGTTCTTAGAGTCGGTTTTACACGTTTGTGGAACTTTAAAGGAATATGAGAAGTTTTAGGTGGAGTATCAGTTTAGTGTTTTGCGTTTGGGGAATTGTAGATTCTTCGGGAATGCTTGGTGATTTATCAGTTCTTTTTTGTTCTGCGTATTATCAACGCTGTGGTACTATCATATGCTATGCTTTTAAGAGTATCGAATGATGAGAACTAAGTGGGTCAGGCAACCAAGTAGAGTCACTTGGCGATTTGTAAGAATTACGGGGATTGCTACATATATATTTTTTTTTGGAGAGGGGAGGCTGCGCGATTGCCAGTACAGAATGTAAAGTTCAAAACTACATGACTACAGCTTCGGTACTTCAGACCCTAAGATACGTAGTGACCAAGCGATAATTAGTAATTTTGAATTGAAACCCGCTGAGACGTGTACGCTAAGAAACGCAGAATGGTCGAGATACGCAGGAAAACCAGAGGCTGATAAACGTTACCTTGCACCAAAACAAATTACGACAATGTAAAGATTTTACGTGCATGGGAAATACAGAGCTATTTCACTGAGCATTCTACTTAAAATTCCGAATGTTAGAAGTCTGATCATCATTATGTCAAAGTCAAATTTGCAGTTCCCAAGAACATTTTGTATACTGCAAAACCTCTCGGTAATTCACTCTCATAACCCGCCTCTCCCACCACCCAGACAATGTGAAACAACAATCTGTATTCAAAAACATTTAAACGTATTAACTATAACGTCACGGAGATTTTCTTCATCTCTATCCATAATTCTCTCAATTCTGCCTTATGTATTATACATTGTGTATTGGGTATCCGAAATATTCTCAGCTTCTCTCACATAAGTAGAATGCGAAACAAAAGAGGTGAATGATTTCTCGTCCTTTAGATGATAAAAATAAGACCTTTTTCTTCGGTCTTATAGATAAGACTGATCGATTAGTCTGTCTTTAAATAAAACGGAAGAAAAAAACCTAGATCAATATAGGAGTAAGACGGATAGAATAAGGGGGATTTCTTTTTAGAGTAAAGAGGGAAGATTATCACGATGACGGTACAATCCTTGTGGAGAAAGTAAAATTCCAGAATTGACGGAACTCGGACACTGCTGTCTTGGAATCTGTACGCAGGTTGATGCGATTTATTGTGAACTTCCTAGCGGAGAAAACAGACTAATAGCAATTTTGGGAATTGTCCGTCCTTGACTTTTATATTTTGTGCTTGAATAGGTTGTTAGAAACAGGATTTTTTTTCTAGTTCCCCTCACAGTTCTTGCGTCTTTGCTTTGGTAAAGCTTCTTTACATTCCATGTGAAATCTTTCTTCACTAAGTGCTATAAGAACTAGCTTTTAATGCAACAATGAATTTTCCCAAATCGAACAAAAGGTCCTTGTATTGATCAACGCAAAGAATGTTTATCAAAGACCTAGAGTTTCTGAGGAAGATTTGTCATATATTCTTTCCAGTTACCTAATAAAAAAATGCTTAAGTTAAAGAAATTAAGAAACGATTTGTGAGCTCATCGAACATAAATAGAAAAGCACATCATACGATCAAAATATGCTTTCAATTTAGCCAGCTAGATAACATCACATGAATTAGACATTCCAGGAAGACTGACAGACTTATCCCAGTATATCGCAGCGTGATGAGTTGTCGCTATAAAAGGTTGTACCACGATGGAACATATCTATCGATTGATCATAATGCGTGCTCTTATTGTACCGTGCATAAGTTTATTGCAATTATGTACGATATCGAAGAATGTGTTACATATGGCATACGGAGTTACGTTAAACATCGAAGAATCTGAATGCTTCAAGGCCATGAATGCATGCGAATTCCTTTTCGTCTTAGTAACGTAAAATTTCGATAGCTGTCTTTCAATGTACCTGGAGGCTCTCCCCAAGATCCTTTCATCTCGTTCACTGTGACGTGATGTTCAAAAAACATCTCATCGATTAAAGAAGAAATGTTTGTATTTCTGATAATTTGTTCGACTAACGGTAATTCGATGCTACTCGTATCAATATCTAATTTAATAATCACATAGTCTTGAGGCTTTGCGATAGCTAAGAGTGTTTTCCAGGGATTAAACTTATTATTTTGCGAGGAACAACCAACATTGATTAATGTGTAAATAGGGAATACATCATCTGGCAATTGTTCCCATGCTGTTTGAGTAATCAATGCAGCTTGTTCAAACGCAATAATACGATCAGGTTTAATAGATCTATGTTTCAAGTATTCGTAAAACCATTTTGTACTACCAGCAGCAGTATTTGACTTCCAACTTGCAAAGTAAGAACTGCCCAGATCGAAAAGGATGGTCTTAGAGATCGCCAAGTTGGATATGTAATCTGCGTCATAAAATTCCCACGGTCTAAACACCATCTCGGGGTCTGCCACACCGATCAAAGGATTGATTACAGTTGGAGCTGATGGACTCATTAGTAAAAACCGTCTCGATTGTATTGATTCCATTCCATCCAGATATAATTCTGGAGGTACCAAGCTAGCGTTCAGTCGGGCACATATTGTCAAGGGATCTCTCAATAGCCCAACTAATGGTTCGATTAACTGATAAGCTTCTAAATGCACATATCTCTCATTCCGTTTATTAATGCATGTATAACGGTAATACATTCGAGAGAATAAGTGATCAGCTTCAAATAATGCATTTAGTTTAACATGTTTAAATGAGTTAAGTTCGATTATCTTTTGAACCGCCTCAACAGTCCTTCGCACATGGACAGTTTCGGCTAAAGACGTACATACGTGATTTTGCAATTTATCTATATTAGAAGTCCATTCCTCTTCCCATTGACTAGAGGTGTAATTGTGAAAGTTCCAAAGACACTTTTCAGACTAAAATAAAAAGTTCTGTTTCTCAATAACGTATCAGAATAAATGTTTTAAAAATTAACGGGATTTTCCTACTAGTAGAGTCTATGAAGGAAGAACTGGTATGGAAGCTCTAGATCATCTGATTCTGCAAGATAAAATTCTAATTTTTTGTTTTTTCTGATTTGTTGCATTTTAAACTGGATCCTCTGTGAATTGAACTAAAAGATAATTCTTGACACGCAGTACTAATCACTGTTTCTGAGTACTGCATTTCAGGTTTATTATACATCTGACGCAGTGACTCAAGTCGAGCTGCGCTCCCTGGACAAGACGTTGTAGTTCAAATAACGAGGATGGAAAGAGACATGTTCCTTATCTCGATTGAACGTCTCAAAATGAGGGTAGATTGAATTTGAGACGAAAAGAAAATCCAAAGATTCTGATTCGTTTAAATAGTACAATATTACAACCGTAAGACAAGCAAGATGAAGGTTCGACAATTAGCGAACGTTTAAAAAGAATTTTTTGCATAAAGATTACTATTAACAGTATGAACTGAACCCTTTTGTCAGTTTTGAAAGATTTCAATGAACAAAATGATCTTTTCAATTTCCAGTAGCAGAAAACATGCATTACACCTCCAAGTGCTTATACATCTGTAGAGAGAACTGGTGTTCATGCATATAATACACAATCACTCTTTTACTCCTGTACGAAACCTTTATAAAACTTATCTTCCACAGAATCTAAGAAACCATGCTGTTATTGCATTCAGTGCAGAAACATACAATCTTGATTCGAAACTTGTTATGGACGCATCTTTTTTAAAGTATAGTGAACGGTGGCATCTCTGCACCTACTTGAACTAAGCTGTTTGCAGCTTTGGTAAAGTAGATTCAGTTCTACAAATATATCTGAATGTATATAAGATGACAGCTTTTTCAAGCCGATCAGTTCAGAAATTGGTTTTCAGAAATGCTGCATTATTGTTCGCAGTTATATTTTACTTTCTGTTTTTTTATCTAAATAAGAGAATAAAAATGTAAAAAATGAATGTAGCTGCGAACAATAGTGCAACGTTTCTCGTAAAAGTCCTGCTATTATCAATCAAAAACAGATTTTGTTGTGCAGAAAGCGATCGGAGTAAACTCGAACATACCTGAGATAAAATAGGGCTAGCTGTGGATATTAAATTTCAAATAATCTGTCGCCATCACATATTAAGCGAATGTTTCTTATTATGTGAAACGAATTTGCAGGCGAGACTATTTTCCACCGTCTGACTCTATCATACG